TAGTATAAATTAATAAAACTTGTTTAAATGAATCCTTGCTCATTTATATCATTTTTATTTATTAATATTTTTTTTCTTATGTATGTACTGGCCACTCATATTCAGGATGCCTATTTACTAGGGCGGGTAGCCAATCCCAATTGCAAACACTTGCTCAGGCAGATTTGTGTTTATTCAACACCCACAGAGCCCACTTGTGGTTTATACTGTAATTATGCTGAACAGACATTAGTTTCAGTTTCTGGTAAAAAGCGTGTTATCTAGTATGATCAACAATTTGAACAAGGCCCAGCATGCTCAAGCCCTTGGCCACAATGACTTGTGACCATGCTAGCATAGCTATCGACAGCCCCTCTCCCAGGGTTGCGTTAATCTAATTTCCCTCACAAGGCTTGGGTTTTCTCTTATACTAATATAACACATTAATTGTATCAGATGCACTTCAAAAATACCGTCTCCTGTGGTGAATGATATTTTATTTAATGTGGGCTGTTTATTTTGTATAATTGTTATTATCCTCTAATATATCCTTTTTAACTAACACTCACCCAATACAAGGCCCAAGAGCCACTCAAAGTAGTGGGTTATTGTGTGGTTTTGTATTAGCATAAGAAAGGGCAAGAAGTGACATTCTTAGGGATATGCAGGAAAGATAACTCTAGACTTGAAGAGGTCAAGATTAATTAGTGATTAACTCTTCAGAGTTCATTTAGAGATATTAGAAGTAGTTGTATTTTGGATGTTTATGATGTGCTGGTCGATGTGTGCACAGATTGCACTGAATTTCAACAGGTGACAAGTCAATCTGTGAGAGAGTGTGGTGCATGTGTGACCAATGTAAGTATTTAATGCTATTTTTTGATTATTAATGTTGGAAATGTAAGCTCCCAGGGAGGGGCACATAAATTCATAGACAACATTATTATTATTTTTTTTTTTTTTTTTTTACATAAGGGGAATTTTTGTGGCCTGCATCAGGCCACAAAAATTCCTTAAAAAAAAAAAAAATAATGTTGGTAATAATTTAACTAAATGTTTTAAACTTTTTATAATAGATGATAAATGGATGTTGTTGTTTGAAAAGAAAGAACTCAACCACAAAACACCAGTAAAGTCAAAATGGAAAGAGCAATCCAGAATAAAATTAAATCAAAGTTGGGATGTTTGGCACAAGAAAAAAAAAAAAAAAAAAAAAAAAAAAAAAAAAAAAAAAAAAAAAAAAAAAGAGACAAGGTAATTTTATATTTTCATAAGCATTTTATATATTAAAAAAAACAAAAAAAAAACATTTTTTTTTTTTTAATTTTTATTTAATTCTGAGAAAGTTCCCATTCTCAAACTCACCCCAGAATTGGGCAGAGTTGGGGAATCATTGTTTCTTTTCAAAATAGTCAAAGATTAGCCAATTCTCGTTGTGTATGGGAAGAGGGTATTTTTTACAGCGGATTAAGAGAATAATGTAGAACTTATCAGAAATAATGTAAAAAAAAAAAAAAGTAAGTAATGATTATGATGAAGCTGTTATTCCAAACTAATGCATTTAGATCATCCCAGACAGAAAAATGGGTTAAGGGGCAGGGGGAAACAAGAATTTTAAAATGTTTTGACTAGAGAATCAGCATCAGATTATTTATTTATTTTTATATATATATATATATATATATATATATATATATATATATATATATATATATATATATATATATAAAATTTTCAAGCAATTTTTCCTTTATATACAGAATATCAAATATTCAAATTAAAAAATTTAAAATAACTTTAAAAAATAAATTAAGAAAAAATTCAAATTATTCCAATCACAAGTCTTTGAAAAATTTGGATATTCTGAAATGGCTTGTATATATTTTTTTTATTTATTTTTTTTAATTATCTTCAGACAAATTCACTCATATACCATCATGTCAATCATTTTTTTTTCTCTTATTTAAATCGTTGAAGTCTTTATTTTTTCATGAGGATTAAGTACATTTGTAAATATTCAGCTTTTTTAAATATTCAGTCATTTTTGTCGCTCCCAAGCCAGAAACAGGCCAATGAGATACACACATACACACACATCTCGTTCAAGACCAGCCAGAGTGAATGCAATGCAGCAGAATTTTAATGTTGAATGTCTTGTAGAAGCGCATTGAATTTGAGTAATAGTCATCAAACGAACAAATGTTTATTATACAAGAAAAAACATCATAAACTAACAAAAGTAAATTGTAGCAAGCTAATCTTTTAATCTAATCTGTCAATGCTAGTTTTCTGCAATGAGAAATTTAATTTAAATCACAAATAGTTTTGTACAAGATTTGTTATGATCCAATGTTTTGCTGGATTTTATTATAGCCTAATAAGTCTTTTGAAAATACTTTTGTGATAACAGAAGAAAAAAAAAATTTTTTTTTCTTTATATACAGAGCAGGTTTTATCAAAATATCAAATAATATTCAAATTAAAAAGTTTAAAATAACTTTAAAAAAAATTCAAATTAGTCCAGTCAACTCTTTGAAAGATTTGGATATTCTGAAATAATATAATAAAGATGTAATGTGGTCCCACAAATTCAAATTTCCAGAAATAATATAAATGTTGGAATTCATGTCTCCAGACTAGTGTTTTTCTACCAGTGCACCCAGGGTGCACTAACACCCTCTGAAAAGTAGCCAGGTTCAGCCTAAGTGATCAGAATATTAATTTATGAATTATTTTTATATTTAAAAAAAAAAAAAAAAAAAAAAAAAATCTTTATTTTTTTTAAAAAAAAACTAGAGGCATGAAGCATATGGTGAAGTCAAGTCTTTTTCATTTGAAATTTTAAACTGGAAGCAAAATTCCTTAATCTTTAAGATGGAGTGGATAATTATTTCTCTTTTGCCTTCCTCCAGGCATTTAAATCAGTCATTATTGGCTCCTCGCAAAAAAACAAAAAAACAACTCTTCATAAATCCATTTAAATGAAAATTCTACTGCTAATCTTCTTTGGGAATTAGAAACCAAAATTTCAGATTTTCAAATTTCATGCCTAATTTTTACTTTTTAAAATTTAAAGTATGCCCCAGAATTTTACTTATTTTAAAAGTTCACCCTGAAGTAAAAAAGGTTGAGAAATACAGCTCCAGGTTATTTTTATTTAGAATTACTTTATCTCTAATCAATTGACAGCCATTATTATCATCAGGAGTGATAATGAATCAAACAGCCAAATTAATTTCTCATAAAAAGGTGTCGATCTTCTCCTTGTTTTATACAGTACAAGGGTGGGCTGAAAAATTCAGAGGCTGGCTATAAAGGAGCAATTTTAAGTTGTGAAATCTTACATGCATTAATTTCAACTCTTCTTATTAATAATTGCATTGGTCCCCCACCCCCCCGATAAACCAACATTTCACTGTTCAAAGAAAACTTCAAATGTAATTAGTAGTGACTTCTCATGAAAATGGACAAAATTTGGCATCATGGTGTAATCAAGTACCTGCAAAAAAAGGGGTTTAGCCCCCAAGGACATTCATGCTGACATGGTTGTTACATTAGGGGATGACACCCTAGCTTTATCAACAGTGCAAAAGCAAGTATCTTGATCAGCCTATGAACTTTTCAGCCCTACCCTTGTATATGTTGAACTCGTAGAAAAAGGCAGAAAGTCATCTTGTTTGTATTTCCTGCTGAGAAGTCTGACAGTTTAAAAAGAGAAAATTTCTTAAAATTCAGACCCTAAATAATATTCAGTGTTTCATGTTACTCAGGCGCAAGTTTGAATGAATTTATCTTATATAATTCTGAATCTTAGGTGTTTTTGAGGGCCATTTCATTTGAACCAATTTCTTTGATTTATTTTCTATTATTTCATAAACACAATGTTGATGTATCTTCCAGCCATCTTTGGATGGCCATTGTATTTTGGATTGTGTCAAGAGCTTACAGGTGCATGGAAGTGGATGCACATGTGCCCTTCAGAGCAAGGTTGAACATTTGAAAATATATTGCAGACAAAATAGGAAGTGCTGGAGGATACAGTTATGAAAACATGATGATAAAAAATAAATTTTAAAGAAAAGGCGAGAATCTTTATATACTTAAAAAATAAATAAATAAATTGCCTATTTATATATATATATTTTTTTAAATCATTCTGAAAATCTTTAAAATTGTAAATATAATTTGTAACGATTTTTTTTACGCTTATTTTAATGCTTTTACCAGTTGAAAACCATAAACAATGATGAATGTAGAGTTTGAGGAATTACCATCTTACAATATCTGCAAATTCTTCATTTTCTGACTTCAATAAATTTATTCATTTCTTTTAGCGCCAACTGATTGTTCAGCAAAAATGGCCGGACATTATGAATCTGTCCACTGCAAACAGTTATGGACAGAGGTGATTTGTATAAACATCTTTTCAAAATGAATTCACCATCCAAAATGAGAGAGAGGTAGAGGGTGGGGAGAGATAGGGGAGAATATATATATATATATATATATATATATATATATATATAGAGAGAGAGAGAGAGGTAGATAAAGAGAGAACGTGCATGTGTGTGAGTGTGAGAGCATCTGTTACCCAACAAGAAGGTGTAGAAAAGTTCTAAGCCCCAATCAACTCAAGAAAAAAAAGAAAATATTGGTATCCCAAAATATCCAAATATTAGAGTACTAACTTTGGGAAGTGGGTTTACACCTGGAATTTTTCAGCATTCTCTCCAAATTAGTTGCATTCACTGAAATAGGAACAATGATAACAGGCATTCTTTTTTTTATGGCTGAAAATAGAGATTGTGAATGTCAATCTTTAAGAAAAGAAAGAGTAAAGAGAGATGGGGAGTAGCAGGAGAGAAAGATTTAGTAAGAGTAAAAAAAGAGAAAAAGAGAGGATGAGATTTGTGTGAGAGGCACAAAACCATCTTCCAGCAGAGAGAAATGGTGGAAATTTCTGAAATCGGGAGACACAGTCGTCTATTGGTCAGTCAGTCTCATGCCGCTCCTTACTACACCTTAAAGCAAGCTTCATTGATTTAATGGACCCTCCAGATACTTTGAAGGCCAGCGATCCCATCATTATCATCACAATATATGCCGTGATTATAGTGGCTAGGTAATTCTGCTGGGAATCGGCAGGATTCAATCCATTTAGGTAAGTCTGAAAGGCAACAAGAAAGTAAAATTAACACATTTTAGAAAAGAACTTGTGAGATGTTTTTTTTTTATTAAATTGAATGGACAAGGAAAGTCTTAAATCTTTTGGGGGAATTTCTTCTGGTGTCAATGGAACCACCTCTTAATTGCTGCTGTTCCCAGGCCCACCCTGACCTGGAGTGGTAACAACTGTTGGGGTCCCAGCTATGGACAAATAGTGACCCCACAAACAAAATTCAACAATACATTTTTATAGTAAAATTACCAATAATACATTTTACGATCTACAAAATTTATATCTAAAAACATACCTTTTACTCTGAAAGCGTAAAATTACGTACAAAATATTTAGATTTCAGCATTAAATAATCTATAGTGGTTGATGTTGCAAAACAAAACCAAACAACCAACATGAAAAAACTCTTTCATGACATTAGTCCATATAATATCCTATAACTTCTTAAAGAAATCAAACTGTATTCCAAAATGTAACTTTAGCAAAACTATAACATGAAACACGCATATCACTGCCTCTAGTAATTATGTCCACACAAACATATATATGCACAAAAGCTGAGTATCATCTTCCATGTATTCAATTGTAAAAGCAAAATAATATATATCATTATTATTACTTCAAAGCTTCCCAAAAAATTAAATTTCAGCATTAAATAGTCAATAAAGAGTTGGCAAGCCATTAAACAAACAAATCAATAAAAAAAAATCTTGGTGTCAAATAGGTTGTTTGGTGCCAGGTAAAGATTTCTTGTGCCTTCTTTCCTTGAAAAATGGCCTATGATCATTGAAAGTGCTTCGAACATAATTTCAACAAGTGCCTTTACAAGTAAGTCTCAACCTGACATCAAACAACTTATTCAAAACCAGGAAAACTAAAGGCTTTTAGTAAACATTCTTTTTTTCCATCTTATTTAATAAAACTTGTTCAGATGAAAGATTGCTGTCTAAATATGCAATGTTTAAAATCTATACATTTACATTTTTAAAAAATGTCTCATTAAATGATATCGACAAGTTCTGTCAGTCAATTTTTTTTATTAAATTATTTTCAAATAAGCCGTTTTATGCTATTGCAAAATATACAAAGAACAATTCTTGAAAACAAATGTAGCAACATTCAAAAGTACTGAGAAAACAAAATAAATATGAACTTTGACAAATCTACTATTATATAACTAATTTGAAAATTTGGAAAATTTTTTAGAAAAACCTGATAGACAGAACTTGTTGATATTATTTAAGAAAACATGCCTGAAATAATTATTGCTACTGAAATACACCTTATATATATATATATATATACACACACACCATATAATGCATGGTCTCGTGTATCATACAACCCCAGAATTTTGATTTATAAAAAAATGATTATATCATGTAAGTTCCTTTTCTGAATATGATGAAAAAAGGTCCCTAACTTAATAAAAACAAAGTTTTATCATCAAAATGTTTACGTTATTATTAAGAAGACAGACCAAAATATATTTAAATTATTTTTTAAAATATTTTTTACTCCTTTCTAACATGTTCCAAATTTTGGTTAAAAATCTTTTATTTATTTATTTTTTTTTTTATGCATCAGCGCTGTAACAGAGCTATGGAAATTTTAGCACCTTTTTTTTTTCAGCAAAACAACACACTGATTTAGGAATTCTTGCAAAAATCAAATAATTGTCAGATTTTAATGAAACTTTCAGGACTTATTCACAAATGAATGAATTTATTTTTGAAATTATTATTTTTAGAAAATCTTGGTAAAAATATTGTTTTTATTTTTACATCTGTTACCCTCTACTGACTTAATTTCACGAAATTTCTAGAAATTATTTTCTGATCACAAACTTTGTTTTATTAGTTAAACACAGGAATCCTTTGAGGATGTAAATCCTCTATTTTATTTTATTTTTTCCAAACAGTTACTGCTTTCATGAAAATCTACTCTGAAGAATAAAATAAAAACTGCAATAAAACAACATTAATTAGATAAACTTTTAATTGCTTTGTCTTTAATATATATTATTAAAATATATATTAAAGACATTATAGTCTGAAGAAAAAAATTTTTTTGATGAATAATGAATTTTTACAAGAATTGTTTTCATTTTTTTTTTTTTTAATAATAATTTATAAAGATTCAAAAATCTTTTAAAAATTCTTCAAAACTTTGACTGCATTAGGTTATCAAGTTATTAAGTGAAGACTATATTCACTAAACAAAAACTGAAAAGCTTAATACAAATCATGATGCACTAAAATTTTAAAAATAATTTTTAATATTTTTTTTATTTGCAGAAACATGCCCATTTTGAAAGTATAGGTGACCATACACAACATTATCAGAAAATAAGAATGATGACTAGTAAATTTACAGTCAACATTCCTTAAATTAGATTATGGAGAATATTTCCAATTTTTTTTAAAGATTACCAAATAATTAAAAATTATATAAAAAAGCATTCACCTATCATTTTTAAAAATTATGTTTTAACAGATAAAGTCACCATAGATCAACAATAAAACTGTCAACACCTTTAGTAGTGAATTGACTAGTGTTGTGCAACCTTTCGACGTATCTATCAATAAACCATTTAAAGACAACATCCAAAAGAAATGGAATGGAAGTTGGAAGGAGAGAAAACATTTACGAAGGGAGGGAAGATGAAAGCTTTGGATTTGCCTCTACTGCGTTTGTGGGTGAAAGAATCATGGACTGAGATAGATACAAGTTTGATGGTTAAAGCATTTAAAAAATACTTTGGATGGAAGTGAAGATGATGTCTTATACAAAGATGTAGAAGAGGAGGATGAAATGATCAAAGAATTGGAAGATGATCAGTATGACTGCTGCCTTGGTGACGAAGAATTCAAAGACTTATTTAATGATATGGACAGAGAGAGTGACTTTGAAGGATTTTAATTTATGTATAATTTTATGCATGTTTTTCTACTTTAATAAATGTTTCTTTACCTTTGTATGCTAAAATAAAAATAATACTTCAAGTAATAATTGTTTCTTTTAGCAAATAAAAAAAAAAAATCTTTCAGTAGTTTTCAATAATCAACTGATTTGGAAAGTATAAATGTTTGTCTCGATCAGTGAAACATCTTATAAGCGTAAACAATGAAAAAAATGCATATTGGCTAAGTTTGTAGTTTATAATATTAATATGTGAATGTTACATGCATTATTATTGGATACAATTAAGTAAAACATAAGCTTTATCAAAATCATGTTTATTTTAAATGCAACTGTACCTTTCGACTACAGTAAATGAATATATATTTTGGTCAATGACGTAGCCAGGGCCAACAGTACATATGCTAATTTTATATCTCATATATAATGTGACCCTCTTAGAATTAGCTTCAAAAACAGGTCTTCAAATTTGCATGATATGTGTATATATATATATAGTCATCCACAGAGACTGTTTTGCTGTATCACAGCTCATCAGTGTGGCTAGACATGCAATTGCTTCAAGCTGTGATTGAAACCCAACATATTTGTCATCAGCTGGAGACTCTCACCCTTAGGCCATCACAGTACCTTGTCAGACATCTTTAATGAAACACACACACATTATATATATATATATATATGTTTTAAGCATTTCACCCCAAGCAAGGTGGGAGTGACACTAGCATGCAAGGTTTACAGAGAGTGGGAGCAAGAGTAAAGAGGCGTGATAGAGGAAAGGATGAAGAGAAGGACAAGGAATAGATCAAGGCATCTGGAGATGTCGATTGATATTGCATTTGAATATTTGGAGATTATAGCTATCAGGGAACCAAGTAAGCGAAAGGGAGTTCCACAGATGAGAAGTGTAAGACATGAAGCTATTGAAGAGATGGCTACATTTAACATTTTTGACAGTGAAAGGGTGGGATTGAGCTGCCAACCTGTTTAAATGTTTAAATTCATGCAGTTTGAGAATCAGTGAAAGTAGCTTGTTGGAGCAGTTACTGTGAAAGTATTTGTAGAAAAAACAGATGGAAGCAACAGCACATCTGTGAGAGAGCGACTGTAATGAGATGCCAGATCAGGGCCAATCTCATTGCATATCCGTCTCTGGAGTTTGTCGAGGACCTTAAGACAAACAGTGGAGACCCCAGACCATATATGACAGCAATATTCCCTGCAAGGGTGAATGGTTGATTTATAGATTTGAAGGGTAGACTCAGGCGAGAAAAACTTTCTGGAGTGACACAGTGAACCAACTTTCCTTGCGGTAGATGAAGCTATTGATTCAATGTATTTGTTCCATCTCAGGTCAGCAGACAGTGTGAGACCAAGCAGTTGCAAGGAGGGGCTCTCGTGGAGTTGAGCATCAGACATTCTAATGGAAGGCAGGGAGGGTTCTCTGTTGAGGGTAAAAGAGAGCAATTTTGTTTTTGAGGCATTAAAGATAACCAGCCATTCCTTGCCCCAGTCAACAACAGATTGGAGGTCCTTTTCAAGACCAGCAGCAGGTTAGTTTTGTCAGCAATGCCAGATTTGGTATTGAGGCAGGAGTAAATAGTAGCGTCATCTGCATAGATGCCTACTTGGGAACTGTTGACATCGGAAAGATCATTAAGGAAGATCAGAAACAGTGTAGGGCCCAGGATAGAGATTTGGGAACACCTACATTTGTGAGAAAGGAACTGGAGGACAATCCGTTAAGGATGGCCTTAATTACACGGTTTGACAGGAATGATTGTATTAAGTCAAATAATCATCCTGAAATTCCATATCCCTGAAGCTTACAAAGTATGTATGCGTATGTGTGTGTGTGTATATATATATATATATATATATATATATATATATATACAAGTGTACCTATCTTTGCAGATATATGGATGGAAGAAAGAGATTAAATAGAAAATTACTCACCAATGAAGAAGTGAACATGTGACTCGCAACAACAATAACTACAAACAAGTAACGTTTTTTGTCCCAGGCCATGAAACAAATCACTCCCCAGAAAGTGTGGAGAAACACAAAAGCCAAAGTCAAGAAAGCTGGAAAAAAAATGGATAAATATAGTTTAAAATGGAAACATTAAAAACAAAAGCATTGAGGAAACATCAAGTTATATTTATCCCCCCCCACTCCATTTACAAAGATGCCCTCAACACCTATGAAGTATATCATCACAGAATTTTTGTGTGTGTGTGTGTGTGTGTGTGTGAGGGACAAAACATATTTCAATAATTTAAATATCATCTTTGAAGTCTTAATTTTGGCTAACCATTGCAAGATAATTTGAGTGGCTCTGATAAATTCTCAAATCAACTGACCACACAGATTCTGATCAAATGGACAAACATCAAAACTTGGTTTAGCTGGGCTGAGAACATTTCAGCACTGTTAAAAAAAGAAAAAAAAGTTACTTTTGCTTGAAACATATTTTCCACTGTTTTTAATCCAATATTATTTTTTGCCAGTGACAAAATTAGAATCTGCTTCAACCCTTTAATATTCAACACACTCAAACCCCACCTTGTAAATATTGGTGCGACTTCCTCAGTTAATTGCAAGGATGCTGTCATATATTTTGGTAGAATAGACATGGAGCAGTTTACTGTAGGTTGAACATTGAGAGCCAATATCTATAGGGTGGTATGTTGAATGCTAAAGTGAGGACATGGTTTAGTGGATAAAAGCATTGGTTGGATCCAGTGACTTTATCCAAAGAGTTGTGAACAAAAACTTGGAGAATTGAGTTAAAGGAGATAACTGAGACATCCAGAAGAGGCATGGAATGTGGAATTAGAACAATTTACCCCAGTCAGTGAAATAAAGGGTTTAGTTCAAAATTCCAATCATCTGAAGAAGGCCAGAGTGTACAAGAGCCAAAACATCACGAATATGACAATAAAGTTGAGGACAACAGTCTGAACAACTTAAAAATGACAATATCTCACCTGAGAAATATAGACAGATAATACTGTTATGAAAAAATAAAAGATTATATAACAATGAGATGTAACTTCTATCTCATATTATGCACCTAATTTAAAAATACCCAATAATTTCTGTTATAACATAAAAAATTTATAACAAAGCAACAGATGTGGCTTTTAATGTACTTAAAGAAAATCATAAAAGTAACAATGTAAAATTTATAACAATTGTATCCAAAATGTAAATTGATGTTGTCACTTTAAAGCATTTGAATAAAACAAAATGGTTCCTTAATATCAGGATCACAAAATAAAAAAAATATCAGAGTAATGACAATTTATTAAAGCTAAAATAATGTGTTTAGCTATAGAATTAATAAATGGAAAATTCACTCCAAATAAAAAATAATTATTAATAATCAATAATGATTAAAAATTTTTTTTATTTTTTTATTTATTTATTTATACAAGAACTTAAATTTTTTATCATTTCACATTTGTCTTTTGTAAGTTTCATCAGTTGAGTTTACTTAAAACTCATTCTAAAAAGAAAAAGAAAAAGAAAAAAAAAAAAAGCGAAAGAGTGGGGGAGAAAAAGAGAGCAGTGGGTGGAGACAGTGCAGAGGAGAGATAGGGTGTGGGGGCAGAGAGGAAAAGAGTGAGAGAGATGGATAAAAAGAAAGAAAAAGCAATTTATAGAAATGTTTAATATAAATAGAAAGTCAGAAGAATACTAGTAAGTCAAGGAGACACAAATGTATTTCTTGAAAGAGAAGACTAACCTGATGCAAGGAAGAAGTACTGTGAATCTCCTTTAATACCAACTGTTCCAGGTCCTATCATATCAGCTAATACATTTACCAGTGAGAAAGCACCACAAATAATTCCAAATCCAAGCCCAGAGACTGAAGAAGAAAAATGATATCAAATCAATGTAAAAAACAAAAACACACAAAAACACACACACACACAAATGGCAAAGATCTTTTTGTATAGTTTAACATTTTTTGAATATTGTAAATATACATGGTGCACTGGGTAAATTGCCACCATTTTATATATTTAATTTTGCACACAGTATAGTAGGGTCATTGGACACATTCTGTGAGAAAAAGAGCACCATGACACAATTCACTATGCCAGAAATTTGGAAATGGCATGCTACACTGCTTGGCATTCGCACCGAAAGCTCCAATACAAACATTTCAGTGCTTGGGTGTTAATCTGAGGACAATGCAGAGGATTTGGAAAGAATTGAGGATTCTAATGGTGATTATGAAGGTGTTTGGAGTGATCACTAGTAATGACGATGTTATGCCTCTATTCAGTTTCCCACAAGGCGTCAGACTCAACATTGGAGGCCTACATCAACTGCCTTGAGGAGGTAGGCTGCCCTGGATCAAGAGTGTGGCTGCTGGAAGACCCTATGTCTGGCAACAGGATTCTACACCATGCCACACAAGCAAGAGAACCTAGTCATGGCTGTTGGACAATTTCCGTGACCAGATCACCCATTACATCTAACCATCTAATTCCCCAGACTTGCAACCCTCTTGATTATTATGTGTAGGGTGCTGATGAACTCCTAAAGGACGAAACATGTTGCACAAAAACTTTTTTATACTTCATCATACATCTTTCCTCCAAGATTGTTCTTGATACATAAAAATTTAAATATCATTATCCCATATATGGGTGTACAAGAACATCAGGCAATGTAAAGACATAAGCATGTCCACATCAGTGAAAGTATTAAAGTAATTTAGTATCATTAACCAAAAGGCTCTTAGTTACAAAGTTTGTTACTTGTCATGACTTTAAATACAAACTATCAAATTTCTGGATAAGCAACAAATTAAGAAGTTGACTTATTAAAAGTATAAATTATTCCTATCAAGTTTGTTGATAATGTTAATTCTTTCCCCTGAACTAAGTTGGATTGAGGCATCAAAATAAATCTGAGTAAAGTGGAAAATATTGGGAAATAATAACATAATTGTTGTTAAAGATCTGATATTTTTTAAACTACTGATTATAATCACTTATTGTTTGTGCATAAAAATTAACATATAAAGCCTACAGGTAAAAAACAAAACAAACAAAAAACAAAACAAAAACATATGCATACACACACAGAAGCAAAAAAAAAAAAAAATTTTTTACCATAAGCCATGATGCTTTTGTTTGTGATGTCTTTAGGAAGGATGTTGGAGTTTTGCCCTTGCTGGCTAACTCGTTGCAGTCCTTCATCTGCCTTCCTGAAAAATAAAGACAAACCAAATAGAAAATTAATGCAAACTATTTTATAAAAAGAAGAGAGAGAAAGAGAGTGATTTCCCAGCATGTGAAGAATTTAATAATCTTGATAATTCTCCTTTTTGCATTTTGGAAATAAGAATTGTTGGCATAATGAAAATGTAATATCAAGTAAGGTTTATATTTTTGTTCTGATTAAAACAAGAATAAAGTTAATATTTTCATGTGCTTCCATTAAATTTTATTAAACAAAGGTTTTCCTTCTTTATACCTTTATTAAAATATTTAAAAAAATTTAAATGCAAATATTTTTTTAGTTTTAGAAAATCAAAAAAATACTTCCCTATTGTTAATGAAAACATTTGCAATTATTTCATGACATGGATGCAAAAATGCAAAGCAAGTGAAATTAAAAAAAAAAAAAAAAAAAAGAAGACATTTACTCATGGCCAACTGCTGTTTGCATATAATTTACAAACTGAAGTGTGTCTTTTATTTTGTCTTTTATTCTACCTTTTTTAAGGGGAGTGGTGTCAAAAATGGGAATGTAATTTCTTAGCTGAAGGAAGCATTGAATAAAATATTCAGCATAAAACCATTAAGATCTGTAGAGCCTACCCATAGAATTAACTGATCATTTTAGTTCGGTTCAGTTTGTAGCATATCAACCTCAATGGGTTATTTAATGCCGACAAGATTTTTATTGCTGTAATAATTTTTTCTAACAATATATTTCTGGCATTAAAACCTATTTTTACACTTTCAGTGTTTTGACACCATTTTGTGGGTTAACTATTTGCCCATAGTTGGGACCCTAACAGGTGCTACTACCCAGGGAACACTAGCAATTAAGAGATGGTTTCATGCCCTTCAAAACCTGATCAGAGGTCTTGCTGTTAGATGTAGTTTATCATCATACCCAGGACATGGATGAAGTTTATCGTCTTACCTAGGATGCCTGATCATTTCATCATTGAGGGAATTGTTAAAAACTAAGAACACATTTGATAATTTTTAACTGTCAGCCATTAGGCATAGACTAAATAAAGTGCTATAACTGGTGAAAGAATTCTAGGCCATCATTTACACACACATAGTGAAATACCCATTTACTGTGGGTCAGGTTAAATCTTGGATTGCAACAAGTTATAACAACAGAAGGATTCCTTAGTACTTTTGTGATAAACTGGTAATAAACTTATTTAAAACTGCAATATATATATATATATATATATATATATATATATAAATTCTGAAAAGTATTCTCATGTAACTTATATCTAAGGTTTAAAAAAAAAAATGTGATAGTAAGCCAGTCAGGTCTGCTACTGATAACCATGTAACCCAGTGCAACCTGTTGCATGGCCAGGTGGTAGCTGTCTAAACCAGCTCTACACTAGATCCTTTGCTGGTGAGGAAGGTGGTATGTCACACCACAGTATGAAAGAGCAAGATTTGTCAAAGGGTGAATGAGCTTCGAATAGAAGCCAACATGTGTGTGCGTGCGTGTGTGTGAGAGTATATACACACACACACACACACACACGGGGAAAAATGTATGACAATGTAGAAAAAGTTCTTATGCGATAGTTTTTGGTCCTTAAGGGAACCAAACTAAATTTGTTATGTTAGTGTGACAACAAATGCACATGAACGAGGGATGCTGGTAATTTGAAATCTTTTTTTTTCTTATATAATCTGATTGATAGATTTCTTTCCAAAGAAAAAGATCTAAATGAAACCAGCCAGATTATATATTAAAAATTCCCAGCACCCCTTATTTGTGCACACATGTAGTTGCATTAACAACCTTAGTCCAATGATGTCCTATAGGACAAAATGTGTTGCACAAAACCTTTTCCCACAATGTTGTTCTTGAGATTAAATATAAATAATCTCATACTTATAAAACCCAGGTTGTGTGTGTGTGTGTGCGTGTACGTTTATATATTGGATCGGATTTCCTACATTTTTCAACCGATTTCAACAAAACTTCACAGGACTACGTAAAATTACCTTGCGGTGGTTCTGACAGTGCCAAAAATCGGAAAAACAATTGTTTTTGCACAAAATCAATTTGAAAACATGATTAAGAGGCATCGCGAGAATGAAAGGGGGACAACTCATATTGAGTTATAAAACCCAGGTTGTTTGTTGTGTGTGTGTGTGTGTGTGTGTGTGTGTGTGTGTTTGTTTATATATGGGATGGATTTCCTACATTTTTCAACCGATTTCAACAAAACTTCACTTTTTTTTTTTTTGGCAGGTAGTGTTTCTTATTGTCTTGCACACTTTTTTCTTTATTTTTACATTCAGAATGCTTTAAAAATTCCATTTACAAGACAATTGTTTATAATAAAATTCTATTCAATCGGTAGACTCATAATGATTGAAAACAATGTTTTTGTTTGAGTTTAAAAAAAAAAAAAAAAAAAAAAAATTAAGACATGTGTACCCGTCAACCTTAAACAATAATCTTTGTCAATTTTATTTTTCAGTCTTTATAATGGTCGATACTTGATCTATCTCTTACTGTTACATCCCCAGGCAATGCTGGGCTCTACTGCTAGTGTGTGTATATATGTATGTATATATATATATATATATATATATATATATATATATATATATATATATATATAAAAAGGCTAGGATGGGGTCTCAAGCTTTGAATGACAACCTTCCTATAGATGGTGTCTTGATAAAAACACTTGGTGTACTTGCACTACTTTGAGTGTCTGAGTTGGATGTCCTTGTAAAAACTTTGTCTCAAATCATTATAGCAAATCCTTTGGCAGGCAGGACCCACCTTGTTATGTGCGAGAAATATGTATTTTATAATGTTGTAACAAATTTGTAATCATTATTCATGTAAGTAACTTTGTAAGAGCAAAAATAAGCTTTTTCTTTCTTCCTTTCAGTGTTTCTACTTTCATAATAAATACCATAGTTGTTCGTTTTTCCATTTCTTGCCTTCTTTTAATTGTCCATTTTTTATTGCTGTAATAAAAATATGTACCACCAATAAGAACGTCACTTCTTCCTGGTAGTAGAAATACTATGAAAAAGTAGAAAATATATTTATTCTTGGAAAAGTTCTTGTTTTAACAAAGCACAAAAATGTTTCTTGCCCAAACGTCAATTATAAAGAAATTGTCTCACACAAAATTATTAGTGATTGTTACATATATATCTTTTATAATATAGATTATAAATTTATTTACAATAAGCTATAATTAATTTAAATTGTAAATAAATCTCTTTTCTAAAGATATTTGCAAATGATAGAAAGATGACAGAGTTCCCCATACCCCAGAAAAAGACATTCTCTTGGATGTATAAAATTAATTTGAGGGCTGTACACAAAAGGGTTTGGTAATTATAGTTAAGAGACAAACATACTCTTCCCAATCATAAATATTGATGATAAATATCTCAGAATAAAAGTGGCACTCACTGTGATTACTGAGCAGAAGCATTGTCGTTACATATATTTGTTTGTCTTTTTCTGATGTTCTATGAATGATCTTTAAGAATCTTTCATAGCATTTTTTGCTTCTTAGTAACTCTGGTCATCCTGTGAAACTGTTGTCTAACATTATTGAAATTTTATTTCAGATTAGGCACCCCTTTTGAGATGGAATGCCAAGTAGACAAAAACAAGCATGTTCAAACTCTTCTCTTTTAATCAAGGTCACAAAGCTGCTCAAAACATTTGTGCTGCACATGGAGATGAAATGCTTCAAAATAATCAAATGGTCAATGCTAAGTTTTATTTTGAACAAATGAACAGGCTCAAAGAGGAAATTCAGCTAAAAAACCTGACTGGCCATACAGTATGCAATTCTTTAACATGATAATGCTCACCCCACATTACTAAAATGACCAAAAATTCAATTAAAAGAACTCTGTCGGGAAGTTCTGCCACACCCACCATATTCTCCTGATATAGCCACTTAAGATTATCACCTTTGTTGGTTGCTCTGTAACAATTTAAGGGGTGTTTTGTTCAACAATGATGTAGAGCTTTGGCAGAAGGTTGTAAACAATGAAGGGGAATACATTGTTGAATGATTAATCAGAACTATTATTAAATAATAAGTATTAAAATAAATTATAAAAAATGAACAAGTTTATGTAACCTCCTAATATATTCCTCTCAACTTTGTGTAATGATCAACAACCATGGAAAAGTTAAGATCTCGTGCTGAAAACCAAATGTTGTCAGCAAGTAAAAATTATGTCATACACTGCCTGTCTAATTTTCATCTCCATCTTATTGGAGGATTCCATCTACATTTAAAACTAATTTATCCATTTCATAAAAAATAAATAATAATGGCACATATAAAATTAAGATTTTCAAAAATTTCTTACTATTATTAAATTTCCACACGAATCTTTGACATATTGACTGCCAACTATGAGATAACTAACAGTAGGCAGTTTTTATTATGATGCCAACTACGTGTTATCTCATGCTTGGCATTTTCTGATACATTCTCATCTGCGGGCGCCAATAACTAGTTTATTCACAGTGATACTTTTAGTGTGAAAACAATGTTCAGACTTTAATTGAAGCCATAAATCAAATCATAAAAATTTTTATTGTCTTAGTTGGCTATTATAAAGTTGGTTTTTGAAGTCAGATTTCATAATTGATGTCTGGCAGAATAAAGAGAAAGGTTTTCAAATGTGTTTTAGTATTTAATAATTATTTGTAGTTTCTTTGAATGAGATTAGTTTCAAGTTGTATAAAATGACAAAACATTTTTTTCAAGTTGTAAAGATAAGAGAGAGAGGGAAAAGTGTGAGGGAAAAGGAAAAGTGAGAGAGAGAAAAGTAAAAAAAAAAGAGAGAGGAAAAAGTAAAAAAGAAAAAAAAAAAAAAAAAAAGAAAAAAAAAAAAAAAAAAAAAAAAAAAAAAAAAAAAAGAAAAAGTAAAAAAAAAAAAGAAAAAGTAAAAAAAAAGAGAAAAAAAAAAAAAGAGAAAAAGTAAAAAAAAAAAGAGAAAAAAGAAACAAAAAAGAAAAAAAGAAAAAAGAAAGAAAGAGAAAAAAGAAACAAAAAAGAAAGAAAGAGAAAAAAGAAACAAAAAAAAGAGAAAAAAGAAACAAAAAAAGAGAGAAAAAAGAAACAAAAAAGAGAAAAAAAAAAAAAAAGAAAAAAAAAAAAAAGAGAGAAAAAAGTAAAAAAAAAGAAAAAAGAAAAAAAAAAAAAAAAAGAAAAAAAAAGAGAGAAAAAAGTAAAAAAAGAGAGAAAAAAGTAAAAAAAAAGAGAGAAAAAAGTAAAAAAAAAAAAAAAAAAAAAAAAAGAAAAAAAAAAAAAAGAGAAACTCTTAAAAAAAAAAAAAAAAAAAAAAAAAAAAAAAGAAAAAAAAAAAAAAAAAAAAGAGAAAAAAGCGAAAAAATAAAAAAAAAAAAAAAAAAAAAAAAGAGAGAAAAAAGTAAAAAAAAAGAGAGAAAAAAGTAAAAAAAGAGATAGAAAAAAGTAGCCACCTACTCTTTTTTACTAAAAAAGAGCATAGCATGATAAAAAAGACCCCAAACTTGATGAAAACAAAGTTTTATTGTCAAAATGTTTATTATTAAGTGGAAAGATCAAAGTATTTTTTGTTATTTTATAAAGGTTTTTTTTTGTAATCCTTTCTAACACGTTCCAAGTTTTGGTTAAAAGATTACTATCGGAAATTTAGTCTTTTTGGTGTAAAAAAAACAAAAAACAAAAAACAAAAAAAAACCTGTTTAATCAAATAATTGCTGGATTTTAATGAAACTTTCAGGACTTTTTCAGATGAAATTATTTATTTATATATCTTTTTTTAGAAAATCTTGGCAAAAATAGCACTTAAAAATTAAAAAAAATGTTGCTCACATTATTTTCTTAAATTATCTTTTACAAATACAGTCTTTGTAGAACAACATTATGCCTGTCAACATGTCAAAGCAGGCTACTGTCTGGTTAAAAACACAGCTACTGTTTAGTTAAAAAAAAAACTTTTCTGTGATATTTTAAATTTAAAGTAAATAATATTTGTTTCAAATCAGATTAATTATATTTTAAATCAACTAATATTCCTCAAATAAAGCTTCAAAAAAGTATATTTCATTTTTGCAAGATATTTAAAACTAAGAAGTAACTTTTGTTTACAATATCTCAAAAATAGATGACTTGTTTATAAAAAAAAAAAAAAAAAAAAATGATTCCACTCAATATAACTAGAGTATTTTGCTTACTGGAAATAGTAAATTTAATCCTAAGCTAAAATGAAAGCTTCAATCAAAGCTAAAATGAAAGCTTCAATCAAAGCTAAAATGAAAGCTTCAATCAAAGCTAAAATGAAAGCTTCAATCAAAGCTAAAATGAAAGCTTCAATCAAAGCTAAAATGAAAGCTTCAATCAAAGCATTTTCATTTTTAAAAATTAATTTAAAACCTTAGGCATCATGATTTTTGTGGAGGGACTGAGGAAATAAAAAGGAAAGAGGGAAAAAAAGAAAAAAAAGGGGAAAAAAAGAAAAAAGGGGAAAAAAGATCAATAGTAAAAAAGTTAAGAAAGAAAAAAAATTGTTATTTTTAGTTACCACACCTGAAATTTAGACAATATTCTTGCTACTATTTATGAACAAAAAAAAACAAAAAACAAAAAAAAACACAAAACTAGACAAATATACTCAACTGCAATTAACAGCCCCAGAGGAAAAGAATAAGAACTCACTCACCTTAACATTTTATAAAACAAATAACGAAAAAGTTCTTGAAAAAACACAGAGAATACAAGTCCAAATATGAGTGAATAGCGAAGTTGATTTCCATTCCAGATTTGCTTAAGTGCAAACCATAATATCGAAGAAAGCAGGAGGGAAAGTAACCAGAAGAAACTACTGCAAAACAAAAACAAAAATAGTAACATTAGTTTTGAAGTGCATGACAATTTTGAAAAGAAAAAAAAAAAAAAATATATATATATATATATATATATATATATATATATATATATATCTCACACACAGGGACATGGACGCACACACACGAATGCACACATTCACTATGGGAAAAAAATTTAAAAAATGCACCAATGAAAAGTGCATATAAAAAAGAAAAATCAAGAAGCATAAGCAGTCAATTGATGATATCCCACTAACGAGTGGACGGAGTGATTCCTGGAGCATCCACCTACAAATCTCTGGAGTTGGAATGCTTGAAGGTAACATCAGCTAAGTGACAAACTTTTCACCTGTATTAATTCTCTCTTTCCCCTCATATAATAATAATAATGGACTCTCCCATTGGTTTCCATGTATGAGGTTCTGACAGCCTAATTGATTCAGTTATGAAATTTTGTGCAATAATCTTAAGTGGCACTTAAGACCCACTAGTGATTTGCAAAAAAAGCTGCATTAGTTTACCCTCATATATATATATATATATATATATATATATATATATATATATATATATATATATATATATATATATATATATAAATTATATCTATATATCTATATATATATATAAAATTATATTATATCTATATATCTCATATATATATATAAAATTATATTATATCTATCTATATATATATATATATATATATAATTATATTATATCTATCTATCTATATATCTCATATATCCCTTTCATACCCTTTCATAATAAAATAAAAAAAATAAAATAAATAAATAAATCTCCATAGACAAGCCAACTTGACGAAAGCTTAATACATCTTCGTTTCTTTTTTAACACCCTCACCTTCCCCCGACTTGACACCTCGAAAGTATCTCTATACCGCCACTCATCATTAACACCCTACACTCGCCTACCCATTTTAGACAATTCGCCCTAGCTGTTACCATGGTGATTTTGATTTCAACTTTTAAAACAAGTAAATTTCAGATATACGTTATTCCAACAAAAATTCGCTTGAAGATGGAACGGAGCCCTTTTTAATTTCAACTCAATTTAATTTAAAGGATTATATTGAAGTTTTCGGCTCTTGTTTTGAAACATGAGACCTCTTATGTAGCGATTTGGAATCATATTTTAAATAAATAATTATATTTATGCTCTACTTTTTTGTATCGAGCACTATTTTTTAAAAATAATAACAAAAATACTAAGGAACTTTGGACTATTTACCTAACCAGTTCCTTCCTATATATTTTCACATATATATATATATATATATATAATTATATTATATCTATCTATATATCTCATATATATATATATATATACACACACATACAGATCTAAAATATTACAAACACTAGTTCTACACGTTTGATTTTTTTGAATTGTGTATTGAGCACTTCTTAAATATAAATGCTTCCCAGACAAGGTAAATCTTGTCTGTAAAAACAGTTTTATTGTGTGTGTGTGTGTATATATATATATATATATATATATATAAAACCTTGTCGGTTATCTTTAATAAAACTTGTTTGAATGAAAATATGTTGTCTAGATACACCTAAGTTGGAGAACAGGTAGCTCATCACCTCAAGAAAATCTTAATCCATTTTGAAAAATTGTTTCAGAAAAATAAACATTTTTATAATGATCAAAAATGTCAAAAAAGTATTGAAGAAATCATTTTAAAAATATTATTACAATTTAGCATTTTTTTTGTTTTTGACTTAATTTTGTTTAATTTGTTTGTTAATTTTTTTTTTTTTTTCATTTTTAAGTTTTTAAATTGCACTTTAAACTTCATGATAGATTAAATAGCAATATTGAGAAGTTGTCAATTTTAATTTTTTAGCATTAATTTCAGTTTTTGAACTGGTTTGGACTATTGTGGCCATTATTTTCAACTTCCATGTGACATAATCATTATCTTCACTACAACATTTCTAATGCCCTCCCACAACACCCACACACACAGATGTTGAGGTCTTCTTAACTAGCAGTATTTCACAACATACACTAAGGTTAAACATGTTTATTTAGATATCATTCAGTAGCTACTATTAACTAGCCCACAACACATTTTTTCTATTGATATATTTGCCTTTTTTTTAACCACCAATCACAATTTTTTCATGACAGTTGCATAGTTTAAAATCTAAAACAAAAATTTGAAGCAAGCAATTTATGATAAAAGTCGTACAATATTTAATATAATACAAAAAGTAAAAAATGATGGATATAGCTAGCAAGAGATATTATTTCGATTGACATATACAAGTTATTTGGTCCTTTACTTAAAAGTGTTTTCTCTTTTTTGTTACTTATAATTTATAGTTAATTCTTCAGGATTCATTGCATATGCTTGGCTATGACTGCCTCCTCAGTAGACCTAGCGTAAATATAAATACCATATAGAGTCTTTAATTCAGAAAATAAACATATGCCAGAAATACCTGCAATTATAACCTGTGAGAGAAAAGAAGACAGGTAAAAGGAAGGGAATACAAGAGAAAGAAAAATTGATTGAGTGCAAGGCTACAGCATCAGAGGAAGCAAAAAGGTAACATTAGGTTTAAGGCTCCAGGATTCATGGACTAGAGAATTAAAGTGCCGTTTAGAGAATTTGATGACAATAATTGTGAGTTCAATCCCTGAGCCAGGTAGTGTGGATAGACTTGGTAGAAACAAAACTAGTAATAAATTTAAAATTAACCAAGACCAGATATCACTACATGTAGATTTGATTTGTTTGTTTAATGGCATATTAACTCCTTATGGGTCATTTAATGCCAAAATTTAATTTTCTTGAGAACTTTATTCTGTTTCTCAATTGAATACATGGTAGATGATACTTAGATTTTGTGCATATATATGCTTGTGTGGATATAATTACTAAAGGCAATGATAGGTGTGTGTTATGTTGTAGTTTTGTTGAAGTTATATTTTAGAATACAGTTTGATTTCTTTGAGAAATTGTAGGACTTCTTTTATCTTAGTTGTTTGATTTGGTTTAGTGGCATATCAAGCTCTATAGGTTATTTAATGCTGAAATGTAAATATTTTGAACATAATTTTGGTGGGATTTGTTTTACGACATATCAACCTCAATGGGTTATTTAATGTGGACAAGATTTTTATTGCTGGTAATAAATATTTTTTTCTTCAAAAATTCATTGCTGATACCTATTTTTTACACTTTCATAGTGTTTTGACCCCAGTTTGGGGGTGAACTATTTGCTCATAGTTGGGACCCTAACAGGTGTTACCACCCTGGGTCATGGAACACCAGCAATTAAGAGGTGGTTCCACATTCCTCAAAATCTCCTGATCAGAGGCCTTGCTGTTTGTAGTTTATTGTCATACCCAAGATGGTGAACAGAATTTTATGGCTTGAACTAAATATATACTATAAATAGGTATTGGTACTTTTATACTTTCATAGTGTTTTGTTTTTGTTTGGGAGTTTGTTATTTTGCCCATAGCTGGGACCTTAACAGGTGCTACCACCCTGAGTGGGGTGAACCTGGGAACAATAGCAATTAAGAGGTGGTTCCATGCTCCTCAAAATGTTTAATCTCCCAATCAGATGGTTTTGCTGCTGGAAGTAGTTTATCATCTTACCCAGGACTGCCTAAATGTGTACATCTAAGCAGTCCTGGGTAAGACAACAGAATGAGAACAATTTACTCCCAAAGGGTCCAGTTCAAAATAACCTGTTACTCAAATTGACAGAGGATGCAACAGCCTAAACATGACAACAACAACAAAGTCTAAATGTAAATAATATAAATAATGTTTCTCTAAGATTGTCAGATATCAAAAGTAATTATTCTGATAGGTTAAATTTCATATATATCAAAATATACATCACATACATTTCAATATCATCATTACCCGAAGTTTTATGACATCAAAACTAAACCTATATTGTTAACAAAGAGTTGTCACTCATACAGTATGCATGTGACTTTACATGCGCATATATAATGCATATGTTTGTGTTGCACATGAGTGACTTACTTGTACCATGTAATGTATTTATATGTACACACATATTCACAATTTTAAACAGTTTGAAATCAGACATTGAAATAATACATTTCCTCTCCCATTCAGTTTAAACAACCACTACTCTGGTCTGAGCAATAAAATCAAAGTTCAAGATAAAAAAAAAATTTTTAAACCCTAAAAAAACAATATAATTATAGAGCAGATTATGCAAACCATCATGCAAATTATGAGATAAGCATGAAATTTGGCATAATTGTCCCTGATAGGTCACTTTTTCAGAAAAAAGTGCTAGCCACGAAAAAATCCAATATGGCTGCCAAATGGGCCTCTGTTTCATGCATTTTGCTCAAAAATCATAATGTAAATTGTGATATAAACATGAAATTTGGCAGGAGTGTTCCTTGTAGGTAGGTTATTCAGGTGAAAGTGGTAGCCACGAAAAAATTTCAATATGGCAGCCTTTTTTCAAGATGGCCGCTAAACGGGCCTCTGTTTCATGGTTTTACTCAAAAACCATATTACAAATTGTGATATAAACTTGAAATTTGGCAGGAATGTTCCTTGCAGGTCTGTTTTCAGATAAAAGTTCTGGCATTGTGAAAACTCAACATGGCGGCCATTTTTTCAAGATGGCAGCCAGTGCCTCATAGTGGCAGTTCATTGAGGAGGCAGAGTAGGGCAGTTAATTGATAAGGTCGAGTAGTGGCAGTTCATCCAGGAGACAACATTCAAATTGAAATGTGAGGAGATATGAAGAGAATGTATGTCGCTCACTACCAGGGCACACTGGTGACAGACACTGCTGTGGAACTCAGCATGGGGTTCAATGTCAGCTAAACATGGAGTTTAGTATCCCAAATTCTATTGGTGAGGAGGCTATCCCACCTGTACTTCTTCAGTTCATGCGCAGCATTGAACATGATGTTGATATAAAATTGCATCTGACGCACGGAATAGCGAA